ATGAATGAATCTGTTAAGTTATTATTAATAATTAGTTTCGCTTTTTGGCTCGAATAGATTGCTTTAATGCCTTCTAAAAAGGGCCCCTCTATCCCTACCCTTTCCATACACTTTACCAGGAAACACCAGGACACATTGTCAAAAGCTTTTTCAGCGTCGACAAATACCAGAGCCGCAGGAATTTCATTTTTGGATTCTAAATATTCAATAATGTTAATTATGTTTCTTATATTATCTTTTAACTGTCTACCTGGCAAGAATCCGACTTGGTCTTTATGAATTGATTTTAACAAATATTTTTTCAATCTTTTTGCCATTATTTCAGCAAAAAGTTTATAGTCATTATTGAGTAGTGATATTGGCCTATAATTTTTTATGTCCAATTTATCAGAATCCGGTTTTGGTATTAGGGTAATATGTGCTTCTCTCCACGAGTCCGGTATCCTCCCTCCCTGTAAGATGTTGTTAAATACTTCACATAAGACAGGTGTTACGTGTTCCTCCAAGACTTTATAATATTTTTGTGACAGACCATCTGGGCCTGGGGCTTTTCCTGGCTTCATTTTTTTTATAGCCTCTTTAACTTCCTCCTTCGTTATTTGTTTATTTAGCTGGGCTTTTTCCTCTTCTGTCAACCACTCCTCCCCGTTTTCTTTCAAATAATTTTCTATTTCTGTTGTATCTTCATCCTCCTTTCTTTTGTATAGGGCTTCATAGAATTGAAGAAACTTTTCCTTTATTTCATTTGGGTCTTCTATTATTTGTTCCTCTATTTTGATCTTATTAATCACCATTTGTTTTTTCCTTTTCCTTATTTGCCATGCTAATAATCTCCCGGTCTTATTTGCAGATTCGAAATATTTCTGTTTCATTGATTTTATCCTCCATTCTACCTCTTGCCCTAATAATGTTGAGTATTGAGTTTGCAGCACTTTAGATATTTGTTTCGTCTTTTCGTCCTCTGGGTTTATCAGCAGTTTTCCCTCGCAGTCTTTCAGTTGTTTCACTATTTCTTCCTTTTTTGATTCTCTTAATTTTTTCCTATAGCTATTCTGTTGAATCAAGAATCCCCTAAGAACCGCTTTACTTGCTTCCCAGACTATGTCAATTTTAGTTCCTTTATTTAAATTCCATTCAAAATACTCTTTCAGGGTGTTTTTTGCTTTTTCAATAGTCTCTTCATTTTCTAGTAGATATTCGTTCATTCTCCACCTGTACTCTCCCAGTGATCTACATTTTATTTCCAGGATGATTGGGTTATGATCGGAAAGTGTTCTAGGTTCTATCTCACATTTCCTTGTTCTTAATGATAACTCTCTTGAGGTCCAAATCTGGTCGATTCTGCCCCAACTCTGATGTGCATCTGAAAAGTGTGTGAATTGTTTTGTTGTTGGATTTTTATACCTCCAGATATCAATCAAATCTAAACTTTTCTGTAAATTTTTAAATGATTTTGGAAGTTTCCCTTGATTCTTCTTTCTCTTTTTTCCACTCCTATCCATTTCAGGGTCGGGGACTCCGTTTAGATCCCCTAAAATAATTAATTTATGACTCTCTAATTCTAGTAACATTTGTTCCAACTTCCTAAAGAATTCTAATTTTTTTGTATTAGGGGCATAAACCGTTATTACATTAAATTTTTCTCCTTGGTGATTAATTTGAACTCCCAGGATTCTTCCCTCTTCATCCTTGCATATTAATGTCGGTTCCCATTTCTCTTTAACATAGACCACCAGTCCTCTTTTTTTACTGACATCTGAGTTGATAAATTCTATCCCCAGCTTTCTATTAATCAATACATGTTTATGTTTTTTAGCTATATGAGTCTCTTGGTAGCATATCACATCATAATTTTTGTTCCTCAAAATTTTCGTTATTTTATTCCTTTTGGATTTTTCATTTACACCATTAACATTCCAAGACAAAAACTTTAAAGACATTACTAAAACTAACTTCTAATTACTCCTCTTTCTCTTCCTAACCTTCTTGCTCCGCTTCTTCGCTGCTCTCTAGTTCCTCTCTATTCCCCTTTCCCTCCCTCTCCTCCCCTTCCTCTTGCACCCTCCCCTCTTCCCCCCCTCCCCCCTCCGCCTCCCTCTCTGTCCCTAAAATTATCTTCAGCTTTGCCGAGTTCTTTCTCGTATCTCCTCATGAATTTTACCACCTCCTGTTGCTCTGTCAATTTAAATTTCTTGTCCTTAAAGAAGAAAGTAATTCCTTCAGGAAATTCCCACCTAAATCGTATCCTATTTCTTTTCAGGACCGCCACTATTTGTCTGTAGTTTTCCCTTTTACGAAGAATTCTGACTGGGATTTCCTTCAGAACAATTATTGGCCTGCCACCAATTATTAATTTTTTATGATAACTCGTTTTTAATATTAGATTCTTCATCTCATTCGAATTAAATATTACTAAACAGTCTCCAAGAGGACTTTTTGACCTGTTTTGTGGTGTTCTTATTTTTATTCTGAAGGCATTTTCGATTGTGTATGCTACATCCTCTTCTTTCAGGACTAACCATTTTGCAAGTTCTTTAATCATCCTTTCCTTTATGTTCTCGTTTATCTCTTCCTCTATCCCTCTGAATTTTAGATGAAGTTGTTTCTGACGCATTTCTGTTAAGGCAATGTTATCCCAAATTTGTTCCTGCGTTTTATTCACCTCTCTTATGTTCTCTTTTATTTTTTCGGTCTCCTTTTTCTGCTCTCTCATATCTTTTTGTAGTTTTTTATTAGTTTCCTCGAATGCTTTGGATTTAACGGATAGTTCCTGAATTTTAGCGGAAAGCTCCCCCACAGCTCCCTCTATCTTCCTATCTATCATCTCCTGCATTTCTTCTAGATTGAATTGTTTTTAACTGTTTTTATTTTGTATTTTTTCTTTTTCTTTTTTCTTTTTGTAATACTTTGAAAACTTTAATAAAAATCTTAAAAAAAAAAAAAAAAGGAACACCAGAGCTGCCCAGAGTGGCTGGGGAAACCCAGCCAGATGGGCGGGGTATAAATAATAAATTATTATTATTTATAATAATTTAGGAGACTCAGCCAGGAGACTCAGCCACAGAAAGGAGCTTTGGTTGGAACATCAGAGCTGCCCAGAGTGGCTGGGGAAACCCAGCCAGATGAGCAGGGTATAAATAATAAAATTGTTGTTGTTGTTATTTATTATTATTATTGGAGAACAAGAAGGGGAAACCTGTGCATACCTTTGCCCTGCTGTTGTGACTTTTGTATCACTATTTTATTGTGTTTAAAAATATATTGTAAGCCACCTTGAGCACTTCGGTTAGTAGGCAAGGTATAAATAAACACTCCTAAATTAATAAATAAATAAAATGAAGCTCCACACAGGAGCTTCTGCATAGGCCAGCAAGTGCGCAAGGTGAACAATACAGGACTGGCCTGCTTACTCTGCAAAGTGGACAGCGTGTTATAGGAATGAGAAGAAAACAGCAGTCATGCTAAGCTGCTGGGTAAGAACTCCTAATTCAGATTGGTATGGTTGTCTTTGGGTTGTATTCATTTTACCCAAGCCCATGTACTATCGGAGACCTAAGGAAACTCAATATGCAAATCTAGAAAGGGAGTTTATTTACAAGCCATTGAAATAACAACTTTTATGATGTCTACCCACACATTTGTTTTCACTTATTTCATTTAAAATATTCTGACTTGTCTGATCAAGTGTTATTTGCATTTGTTACTGTTCGACAGTGGAGCAGGCTCCCACAAAAAGTGGTTGGCTCTCCTTCCTCGGGGGGTTTTCAGCAGAGCTTGGATGGCCACTTGTCATGGATGCTTTAGTAGAAATTACTGCATTGAGGGGGTTGGACTAGATGACCCTCAAGGTCCCATCCAGCTCTACCATTCTATAATTCAGACTATACAAACTTCCGATTTGACACAGCAAGGCAAGCAGGTTATTTTCTTAAACACCACTGGTGACATTGGAGAAGGATTATTTGGTTATCTGTATGGAAATGAGGCAGGTAGACTGTTATACAGGACAGTCTACCAGGAGAATCAATCTTGAAAGAATTGCACTGGCTGCCAAAATATTACAGGGCCAAATTCAAGGTGCTTAAGATGACTTATAAAGCCCAATGACAACTTGGGCCCTAGATACGTCAAGAAGTGTTGTCTCCTGTTCATTCTTATCTTCTGGGAAGATTGCTGAAATTTGCTATGCAGCAACACAGGGGAAGAGCCTTTTTGGTGGTGGTGCCCCAATTGTGCAGTTGCCTCCCTTCTGAGTAACAGTTGACACCAACACATAGCAGTTTTCATTAGCGCCTGACTGATTAGTAGATATTAGTCCATTTTGTTATTCTGGCATGGTTTGATCTTTCTTGCCCTATATTTATAATGTGTTGTTTCAGTTTTAATGTCCCCTGCCCTGGGACTGCCTTTGGCAATACAGGGCAAGATAAAAGGAAAAGCAGCAAACAAATCAAGTGAAGAACCAAGGCGTAAAATAACTCCTGCTGATCAAAGCATTAGTCTAAGAAATCAGAGTATGGCAGTCAATCTACAATGCACAGTTCAAAACAGAAAAAATGAGCATGCCTACTCTGTTTTGTTACTAGGAATTACACCAGTGCTGATTAATAGTAATGGGGGGAAAGAACCTTTCCATCTTTTCCAAAGAGAAAAGAAAATTATGGCAAGCATTAAAAGAGTGGAGGTGAAAGAAACTAAAGCTTAACTCCCTCATTACGGTGAAGAGGTATTTTTAATTATATCCATTAAAATATGATTAGGTTTAAAAATAAAAGGAAAACCAAGTATAGGAGAGTGTTACGCTCATTTTACTTTTCAGAATTAATGTTGCTGCAACTTTCTATTTTTCTTCCAAGAAATGGAAGGTAGAATTATCAAGCTGGCCCGGGGGGGGGGGGGGTGGGACTCAGAGAATCCAAGACTTAAAAAGAATCTTGTTCTTAAATGAGTTAATGTATGTATACAGAGGAGATAAAAAAAATGCTTTCCTCAGAAAACAAGGGGGGAAACATATATATTTATTTAAATGAGGATTAAAAAAAAATCCCTTAACATCTCTTCAAAAAATCATCCAGTTTGAAATAAATTTAACACCAACATAAATGCTAATGATTACACTTATGATCTTTTACAACTGAACTACAACCATCTTGGACCCTCTGCCCAGTTCTGACATAACAAACCACGGTTTGCCATTTCGTGATCAAGCGGCTGGCTTGCATGCATTCCCGCAACCCTTCTTCACACACTAAGGGACAAACTCAGAAGCTTGCAGGACCAGGTTTGATATCCTGTAAACGAACTACAGTATGCACAACACATGTTTTGCCACAGTTGGTTTTCAGAGTTCACTACTGGACAAAATATGGTTTCTTGCAAATGAAAGCATCTGACAAGGGCATCATCTCAAGGACAAACAGAGAAGGATTGAAGTGGGTCAACTCTTAGTGGTAGCTCCCTGTGGTTCATTCTGCTGGAGATAACAAGATAAGATATGCCAAACTCGGCTAGGCCTCAAGTCCAACCAGGCTAGATCTCAGTCTGTGGTAGCTATCAGCCAATTATCCCCAAAAATACACAGATAGAGGACAATGAAAATACAATTCCCCCATTGTTCCCAGCATGACTTGGTTCTCATCATGACTATTAGGTGACCAACAGACATAGCCTCATATTACTGTTTGTCCAACTGTTTCGCTTAGCAATTTTCATCATAAGCCACTTAGTCAGGGAATGCTCAAAAACGCAGGGGTAGAAAGTAATTATAACCTCCTCTCCCATAACTTCACCCAGTTCATTCTCAGTACCCAAATATCACATTCTGCCCACAAGCTATACAGTAGGGAACACAAACAAATATGCAAACACATGCAAACCTTGTTTTCCTTGTTTTCCATTCTTACATTAATAGGAGAGCAGTGATCACAGACTCATGGGAAGAACAAGAACCTCATAATGACTCGAAGGAGGTTAAAGCTTTTCAACAAGGAACACCTTCTCTATCTCTGGTTACAACCAAAGCTAACAGAACATCCAAATTGTAGGATGATGCTATATAAAATGACAAATCTGGGTAACAATACATGTTATCCCCAAGTGACTTCAGCTTCAAGGCATCAGGAGAACTGGTGCATGTTGAGCTTAAACTAGGGAAATGATGAATGGTGCATAATTGAAGTAGGCAGTGGGATTGGTTGAGGAGCAGGGAGCTAGAAAAGCATGTGCCAGGCTTATTAGTGCTGCTTCTGGACACTAGATAGCCAACATACAGCCCACCTTGTTTAATCCTTCAATCAATTCCAGCAGCACATGTTCCAGCCTTTTACCATAGCTTAGATGGCAGAAAGCAGAGACTATCTAGAGTGCACCTGCAAAGCCAAGGGACAGTGCAGCACTGAGGCTTTTGCTGTTAGCCACCAATTTGTGTTCAGGAGTGAACCCAAGACAGGTTTGGCTGAAGTGGGTGGCCATAGGAAACGACCCTCCTGCTGCCTTGTAGGCTTATGTACAGTGTGGTAACTGATGTCTCTATCCCTGACCTTCTTGCCAGCTAGGCCATAAGAATGCATAAAAGTTCACTCCTCCTCAGGAAGCTAGGTTGCAACAATGGCAATGAGATAATTAATACAGTGGTGCCTCGCAAGACGAAATTAATTCGTTCCAAGAGTTTTTTCTTCTTGCGAGTTTTTCGTCTTGCGAAGCACGGTTTCCCATAGGAATGCATTGAAAATCAATTAATGCGTTCCTAGGGAAACCGCCTTCAGACCAGGTCTGGGGACAGTCTGTCCCCCGACCTCTTCTGAAGGCTGGGTGGGGGGGACAAGGGCTTTTCTTCCCACCGCCAGCCTTCAGAAGGCTGTTCTGAAGGCTGGCGGTAGGAAGAAAAGCCCTTCTCCCCCCCACAGGACTTCAAAAGAGCTGCGGGAAGTCCGGCGGGGGTCCAAGGGATTCCCTCACTGCCGCCTGCGTTTAAAAGGACTCTGGGGAAAGCAGCGAAGCGCGCTGCTTTCCCCGAGCGCTTCTAAAGGTGGGCGGCAGTGAGGGAATCCCTTGGACCCCCGCCGGACTTCCCGCAGCTATTTTGAAGTCCGGCGAGGGTCCAAGGGATTCCCTCCCAGCCGCCCGCGTTTAAAAGCACTCCGGGGAAAGCAACAAAGCGCGCCGCGCTTTGCTGCTTTCCCCGGAGTGCTTTTAAAGGCGGGGGCTCGGAGGGAATCCCTTGGACCCCCCCCCCGGACTTCCCGCAGCTCTTTTGAAGTCCGGCGAGGGTCCAAGGGATTCCCTCCCAGCCGCCCGAGTTTAAAAGCACTCCGGGGAAAGCAACAAAGCATGCCGCGCTTTGCTGCTTTCCCCGGAGTGCTTTTAAAGGCGGGGGCTGGGAGGGAATCCCTTGGACCCCCCCCGGACTTCCCGCAGCTCTTTTGAAGTCCGGCGAGGGTCCAAGGGATTCCCTCCCAGCCGCCCGCGTTTAAAAGCACTCCGGGGAAAGCAACAAAGCGCCGCGCTTTGCTGCTTTCCCCGGAGTGCTTTTAAAGGCGGGGGCTGGGAGGGAATCCCTTGGACCCCCCCCGGACTTCCCGCAGCTCTTTTGAAGTCCGGCGAGGGTCCAAGGGATTCCCTCCCAGCCGCCCGCGTTTAAAAGCACTCCGGGGAAAGCAACAAAGCGCGCCGCGCTTTGCTGCTTTCCCCGGAGTGCTTTTAAAGGCGGGGGCTGGGAGGGAATCCCAAGGACCCCCGCCGGACTTCCCGATGCTCGGGGAAAGCAGCGCGCTTCGCTGCTTTCCCCAGAGTGCTTTTAAAGGCGGGGGCTGGGAGGGAATCCCAAGGACCCCCGCCGGACTTCCCGATGCTCGGGGAAAGCAGCGCGCTTCGCTGCTTTCCCCAGAGTGCTTTTAAACGCCGGCGGCGGTGACCATGCCCCGCCCCGTCCCCGCCGCCCGGCATCGGGGCATGGTCCCGATGGCGGGCGGCGGTGGGAGGCGTTCCCGCCTGCCGACCGGCATCGGGGCATCGTTCTGAAGCCCGGCGGCGGCAGGAGGAGCTGTCCCCGCCCCGCCGCCAGCCTTCGGAGGAGGTCCGAGGACAGCGGGGAAGACGCGCTGCGCTTCCCCGCTGTCCCGGAGATTTCCCTATGGGCTGTCGTCTTGCGAAGCACGCCCATAGGGAAATTCGTTTTGCGAAGCGCCTCCGCGACGGAAAACCCTTTCGTCTAGCGGGTTTTCCGTCTTGCGAGGCGTTCGTCTTGCGAGGTACCACTGTAAGCAAAAGGGCACCAGGTTTTGAAATCCTGAAGTCTCCGCTTTAAGATTCTGGTGCCAGGTTCCTTCAACCAACTGGGAATCCCGTAGAACTGAAAATACGAACTAGACAGAGCAATGGCACTTCCAGAATGAGTCAGGCAACCTCAAGTCAGATTACCTGCACACTCACAGTTTCAGGAGCACTCCAGCAGGTGCCAAGAGAACTAACTTGTGACGTATCTTTCTAATTAATTCTAATTATTTAGAACACTTATTTTAGAAAGTTAGAATATTGCTTTTATATGTGCTTCGAATTGTGAGGGTATGCTGCTGCACTTTGTTGTTAAAACTATCTTTATAATAAATTCCTATCTTTATAATAAATTCCTTATTCCTTTATAATAAATTTCCATGTGGACCCACCTTTGTCGTTTGGGAGGGTTCAGATACACACATTAAGGACAGCACTCTGTGTGACTCCCGCTAAAGATCCTTTGGGAGGGAGTGTGCTCTCAGGACCACATGGGTGCAGGTTTGGCACAGAATCTCCAAACACACATGTCTATCAGGCCCCATGTTAGTATGTCACAGTCCAAAGCAAGAACTTGTAGGTGCTTGGGGGGGGGGACAGCAAAGTGAGATAGGGCACAATTTTTCAGGACATCCATGACACGACGAGGAAAACTTTTGGAGGAAACCCTTTGAAGACCTTCCTTAAACAGCAGCAGTCTCTTGCAACAAAGGCAGACAACTGCTCCATGCCTTACTTGATCATACCTGTGCCAGCAAGGAGTGGCAATACAGTGGTACCTCGGGTTACAGATGCTTTGGGTTACAGACGCTTCAGGTTACAGACTCTGCTAACCCAGAAATAGTACCTTGGGTTAAGAACTTTGCTTCAGGATGAGAACAGAAATCGCGCAGTGGCAGCAGGAGGCCCCATTAGGTAAAGTGGAACCTCAGGTTAAGAACAGTTTCATGTTAAGAACGGACCTCCAGAATGAATAAAGTTCTTAACCCAAGGTACCACTGTATGCTTTTAATAAACATGAACGCTTACATTTCATAACAGTAATTGGAAAGAGAGTCTCATCCTAAACCTGATGCATTATCAGACAGTTTATCCTCACCTTGCAAGCTCCTTAATTAAGTTTGCTATGCGCCTCTTGTCTTCAGGACATAAATCCTTCAGAGAAGCACTCTTCATTCCTCCTTTGTCAGGGACCTGAAAATTAAAATCAGCATTTTAAAAAGCAATCATTAACATGGAAGAAGTGTTTCTGAATCTACAATAAAAGTATTTCAAGCACCAGAGGCTGCATATTCAGCCCCAGATGAATTAAGAACTGAAGAGAACACAAGTTTTTAAACAATAAAAATCAACCAGTAGGATAATTTCCCAAATTGTGTGCTGGAGGATTCGCCATTAAATTGTGCTTCTAAAGATAAGCTCCAGCTGGAGGGAAAAGTTCGAAAGGGGGTGGGGGAAGGAGAGTGCAGCCAATTTACCCATTCTGTAATCCTTATTAATGATTTTATTTATTAATTGGTTGACAATGCAGTTGTTCCAGGAGCAAAAGATTGCTCTGCCTAAGGTGCTATTGAAAAAAAGTGTACAAAAGTCAACCCATGAATATATCATATAACTATCAATACAATATGTGTGAATGTTAAAGGCAACCTTGTTAAATGCAAGTCATAATAATAGGAGGGAAATTGCTTATCATTTCAATAAGTACTATTCAAGATTTAAAATGCTTGAATTTTCCCCCTCTGTGGTTATTTCAGAATTCAGCATTTAGTTCAATCCGGTGCAGTTCACAATTCAACATGCATTCCACGGCTCGGTCAAAGCTGATGCTGCTCAAAGACTTAAAAGGAGCTCCAAAACCCTCACAGTCGATAGAACTAATGTGCCTGCCATATCAACCCCACTTTGCTACTGTGCAGGGACTAAAGGAAACTGAAAACCTCAGGTTACTGCAGCAATGAAAATGTCACTGCCAGTGCTTTGGTCATCCTCCCTTACTGTAAGAACTGGCTAACTTTGCACTCCTTGTCCGCCAGAGGGCATTTCATGCTACATAAATGCACAGTTCCCTTCATCTCTCTGCATGAATGTAACCGCTAAGTCTTGAATTTTCACAGCTAATACAATGTGCGCCTTCAGAGAGCTGAGCTGGGAGTCTTCCATTATATTCTCAATTTCAGTCGTGTAATAGCACCTTTCTCCACAGTGACTAACACAGCAGCAGAACAAAAATACTGAGAATGAGCTAGAAATTTCTGGACTACGCAGAGATGAAATCCAAGAGTAATTAATGACTAATGCTTGAACAAAATGGTGGTTTAGAGGTTCGGGAAGGATCTTTGCAGAGAAGGTCCCAATGTACAACCTGCCTCACCTTGCACAATCACACCAGCTGCTGCCGCTAGCACTAACCCGCTGGAGCAAACTCAACAGAGCCTAAATTTAAAAACTGTTTCAACACAAACACATTCATACACAATACAGACATGCATATAAGCATGGGTATTTGTGTCTCTGCTTTGTGCATGAGTTCAAAACAACCATCCATTTCTCTGGTGACATGACAACAACTCAACCCTCTAATAACTAGTATAGGGTGATCCTACAGCACAGGGCCCCAGCCCCATAGCTGTACTCTTGCCAGGACAAGAAGAGCTCAACAAGGATGCAGCAGCAGCAGTTCTCCATCCTGCTGCATCCATTTTGTACAAGAAGGGGAGAAGGGTACTTCTTCAGTCAGCCTTACAAATAAGTCAAAAAGTTACTAGCCTGCAATATTTGTTTTGCCCCCTTCTCCAAAGTCAGCATGGAAACACAATAAAAAGTGCCTTCTTCCATGATGGATGGTGGAGGAGAGACACTCTGATAGTCCACTGTGTTTTTTGTGCTGACTGTGGATGAGATAAGACTACTCTTCCTTTACAGCTAGCCAAGAAATCAAGTGAGCTGGCTGCTCAGTCACCTGCATGAAAATCCTGGTTGCCTGTGGCTACGAGGCAAGTCGTCAAATACAAGGCAGTCTTCAGTGATTTTAGAACCCATCCCTTTCACCTTTTGAGTCTTTGAACACATGGATGTCTCCATCCCCTTAGGTGCCACTTTAAATTGGCCAAAGGCTAACAACACAATGCTTTTTCCCCCTCTGAAGAGCTTGCCATTTCTTGCCAACAGAGGCCTGTGGCACAGATCACAAAGAATGAACAAAGGGTATGTATCTCTTCTATGTGATGCCTCTTCAAGAGCATGACTGGGAGTTGTGGCTAGACATTACCAAGAAAACATGCCCTTCTGGGTTCAGCTACTCCTTTCAAAGAAGTCTTCAAAAGCTAATAAAATTATTATTTTAAGCCCTCTTTGAAATGGATAGCAGCGATCAACCTGTATCGAGTGATGTTTCTCACAACCCCAGGCATTAAAAGAGCTTCATTCAAACCTTTTGATTTGTGTTTAATTTAAACAAGCTTTTCACTCAAAGCACTTCAAGTTCACAGCTGCAGGTTACATCTGCGAAAACTTTCTCCGCACTTCTCAGAAAAGGATGACTAGTTCCAAAGGCAACAGCTCACTCCCTACACTCACACCAAATAGATGCTCTCCCATTACGTTTGAGAGAAGCACCCATTGCAGGTACCCTGAGTCAAGTAATTTCTGCAACACATATCCTTGGTGGACGCTATGCATAGGCCTTTTAAAGGAGCAGCTTTTTCAAAATCATGAAGGAAAGCCTGGTTTGCAGGACTGTCCCAAAACACACTGGGGAACACTGCACTCCCAACTATATCCACTAATTCACCAGCATGAAATATATGACTGGCAGATTATCTGCCTGGGTATCAAGAGGAAGTCATACTTTTTTTACAAAAAGGCACATTGAGAGAACACATTTAAGTCTTAAGAAGCTGTAGGAAAAGGGAGGGCACTCCCTGAAAGCCGGTGGCAGCAACCAAACAGCTAAGCAGGGGCGAAATGATGGAGATATAGCATGGAATAAGGAGATCGTCTGAAGAGAGAAGTCAGTAACGAACCCAGCACACAGATCCAGGTGAGAACCAAATCTCATCTCAGCCACAAATTCAGCTGGCAACCTTCAAAACCCACGTCTCAAACCCCACTCCATTCACAATATAGGGACTAATACATACAGAGTTGTTGTAAGGTTTGCAATATTACACGCACAGCTCTGCACTGTATGTTGTTGTGTAAGTGATGTAGGTATAAGTGATGCATTACTCCAATATAGGAGCAGCACACAGACCAGAAGGGTGGCTAAGCCAAGCCAGAAATGGCTGTCAGCTCTTTAAGCCATGGAGAGAACTTTGCTAAAGGACGTGCAGAGCAGAATGAGAGGCATGGCATTGCCATGAAGGGAGGACGTAAGGCTGAGGCTACCAACTGCTTGTTTATGCAATCTCAACCATGCCAGTAGGTCATTCTTTGACCAAAGCTAGGTTAGCACAGTCTTCTTCTCTATGTTGTGGCGTTTGCTGGTACTTTGTGCAAAGAACAGCACAGTAAACAGCTTGGCTTCCTCTTCACCTTGACATTTGAGGTGGAATTTGGCAGCTGAAGCAGCATCGCAAAACAAGGAGGATTTACCAAGCCACCAAGATCCACAGGATTCAGGCAGAAATGCCCCTTTTTTCACTTCTGAGGTTATGCAACAAACTCTCAAAAAGAATTGCACACAAGGACGGAGAAGATACAGGCAAAAAACAATTCACCGCAGTTCCTGCACTTACTCTCCAGGAAGGTCTGCCTGGTGACAACATTAACAACCTTGCAGCACCAGGCTAATGGGGAGGGGATTCCGTGGATGCCACAAGAACCACAACTGGTGACCCCAGATGTACCTCCTTCTCCTTGGAGCTGGATGAAATGGGATTATAATGCTTACTGCTGTTTCTGTATTTATTTTTGGAGGAACACTGTTGAACGCAGCAGGTAGATATTGAGACACTTAACCTCATAGTTGTGAGTTGGAGCCTCACATTGGGCAAGAGACTCCAGAATTGCAGGGGTTAGATCAGATGACTCTTGTGGTCCCTTCCAACTATACAATCCCATGATTCTATGTACCTGAAAGTCTTTTAATCATCTGCAGTTTTCTAAATACCCAGAAATGTTTGTTTCTATTAGGCAACAGACACATAGAAGGAAGGAAGGAAGGAAGGAAGGAAGGAAGGAAGGAAGGAAGGAAGGAAGGAAGGACTGGGATTGGCCCATACAGCACCTCCAGCCTAGATGCTTAGACCTTTTATCTCTTCGGGTAGCTTTTTTAAAATGTATTTTTTATTAAAGATTTCTTGGTTTACAAAAGTATGTGCAATATCTCTTTTTTTCAAGTTACATTTTCTACAGATCAGCTTCATTTGTTGAGACATTTGTGTTAGGAATTAGGGGGGGAAAGGGGGGGAAGAGGTGGAGGGGCCATAGTGGATGGGGGTCGGGTGGCAGTCTTTCTATTTTACTTAATGTATGTGTGGGGTTTTGTGTCAGCGTCGTTTGTGCAGGTTCTCGTTGCTATTTGCTTGTGTTCCTTTGGTGGAGAGTGAAGTTGGGGTTGGCCTAGGGCATGGGTAGGCAAAATAAGGCCCGGGGGCCAGATCCGGCCCAATCACCTCCTCAATCTGGCCTGCAGACGGTCCAGGAATCAGCGTGTTTTTACATGAGTAGAATGTTGCCTTTTATTTAAAATGCATCTCTGGGTTATTTGTGGGACATAGGAATTTGTTCATAATTTTTTTCAAAATATAGTCCAGCCCCCCACAAGGTCTGAGGGACAGTGGACCGGCCCCCTGCTGAAAAAGTTTGCTGACCCCTGGCCTAGGACATGGGTAGGCAAACTAAGGCCCGGGGGCTGGATCCGGCCCAATCGCCTTCTAAATCCGGCCCGCGGACGGTCCAGGAATCAGCGTGTTTTTACATGCGTAGAATGAGCCCTTTTATTTAAAATGCATCTCTGGGTTATTTGTGGGGCCTGCCTGGTGTTTTTACATGAGTAGAATGTGTGCTTTTATTTAAAATGCATCTCTGGGTTATTTGTGGGGCATAGGAATTCGTTCATTTTTTCCGTTCAAAATATAGTCTGCCCCCCCCCCAAAGGACAGTGGACCGGCCCCCTGCTGAAAAAGTTTGCTGACCCCTGGCCTAGGGTGTTGTTGCTTGTTTGTGATTGGCTGTGGTGAACTTTGTTTTCATGTGTGAGTGGGGTGGGTGGATGTTTTTGAATCAGGTTAGCAATATTGATTCGTATGCTGTTGGTGGATTCTCGTCGTTGTCTTGTTGGGCTGTGATATGATAAAGGGGAGCCATACAGGGGTAAAGGCATCTTCTTCTATTTGTCCCTTAGAGAGACATGTTACAGATAAAATACCTGCTACACACCCTCAACCCTTGGGATAGGGTGGGAAACAAAACAATAAAAATAAATTGAGATATCAGTTCTTTTCTGAAATAGTGCTGTACTTTTCGTTTGCACCACCCAATCAAATCACATCTTGATTTATGACTCAGCTACACCAGCCCAGCTGGGCAGCAATTGGGCAACAGTTCCTCTTTGCAAACAAGGGCTTTCACACTTTCCAATTTGCCCTGTAAAACAGATCGGCCTCAGGGAAAAGAAGAACTAGATGACTAATTGGTTTAGTTGCTCCAGGTTTTTAAACTAATATACACTATGTTATTATAATCATCATCATTGGAGGGGGTGAGCTAACATGTAATATTCTCTTTCTGTGATCCCTGCTTTGTTGTTTTATAACCCACTATTGCTTCTTTAGACAGAGGCCCATTAGTCATAGCTATAAATTCAATAAAGGCAGCGTAAGGATGCACTTTTACAGCAGCTCCTATACAACTGAAGTTTACGTCTTCCACTTTAGTGACTCTGTAATGTATTCAAAAGGAGCACTGCTCACACTGCAGGCATAAACTGCCGCTGTCTGAGGGGACGATCTTTAACTCTCCGCCTCAATCTCTCACACAGCCATGGTTCTGCCCACGAGGAGAGGGCAGTTCTGATAACTTGAAATGCTCTTTGCAAAAACATTCTGCTAGAGGGATGGTAACTTGCTGGGTAGAGTACATGGCTGGCACAAAGAAGGGTCGAGGCTTAATCCAAAGTAGTAGTGTTCTATCTTATAAATCCAGCACTGCTACTCGTTTCTTTTTGTTTTCCAATATATTTCTTATTAGCAAAAAACAAACAAACACACACGTGTCTGTGTGTGTGTGTTGCAAGCAATTTTTTATTCCGAAAGTGTTGCCCAGAGAAAAAGGTTTGAGAACCACTGCCCTAGACAGCCACAGCTGGTGGAAGATAGCAGCCTTGGTGAACCAATGTCTGGCCCAATAAAGGGAAGCTTCTCAACAGAGAATGTGGAAGCCGATCACTGAAGAAGCTTGTCTTTGCCCCAAAGAGAAGAGAGACCTGCTGGGAGGAGGCAGCAAATCTCCAAAGAGAAGCACTGGGACACCTTGCCAGCCAATCTACCCCCCCCCCCCCGGTTGCCTTCCAGCCCCAAATAAGAGGAGCAGGAAGACATGCCTCTTTTTGACAATCCCTTGCAGCTGCCTGTTCATGCTGAAAGGCAGCTCATCTGTCACAACACTATACACAGCTGCAAGAACAGGCAATGGCGGAGGTGTATCCAGAGTTCTGACTCCCTAAAAGAAGCTTTTAATCCTTAGGCGCTGTGACAGGAACTGGTCTTACTTGCTCCATTCTGGCCCCAGGCTTGCAAGCGTTAATCTAGCCACAGTTACAAATGCCGAAGTAAATTTTTAGATGCCTGGACAAGGAAGATTTTTCAAGGCCTGCACAATTACTTTATCTTTGCACCTTGAACGCCACAATGATTGCACGAAAAAAAGAAGAGGGGAAAGGCTTCTAAGCCAGATACAAACAGCCACTTTTCAGCTGTGTGTGAATAAAGCATAAACAGTCTGCATCAACATCAAAAGTCTGCATCCAATTGGACTGCCATCGCTGCCACCATCCAAGACCACGTTTACATTATATCTCATTTGTTTCAGTATTTTAACACTGTAAACTGCCCTGGGTGCCTTGGTAGAAAGGCAGCATATAAATGTCATAAATAAATAAAACAATAAGTAAACTTCACATTGTCATCCTCCACAGGTTTACTCTGTCCTGCTGAGTTGAATGGACTTCCAGGTTACCTCTGCCACAGATTGCAGCCTCAAGAGTTCTGGTTTCATTTGCCCTTGTCCGTACTGACCTGCTGCCCAGGCGCTTGGCCTGCGCTTTTCCAGGCATCCATTGGGGCAGGAGCAGCAGCCGCAGGCACCTTTGCCTTCACTTCCACTTTCTGACCTTTCAGCAGGTGTCTTGCTCTAAAATTCCTCTCTGTGGAAATTCCTAGAGGTTGAACAGACAAGATCAGGAAAACTTCCAACTTGTTCTTACAAAGCACCTCCCACACTGAAGCTTCCCACAAAAAAGAGGAAATGAAAACAGCACCCTCCCCACCCCCCAAAAAAGCTTAAGCATCAGCCCAGCCCAAGGAAAAACTCTTCATTAACACAAACAAACCAGCCCAGACTTGAGAAGGCCCAAGGATAACCCTGCCCAACACCAAGAACCCTGCACCTTGGACTTACTCTTCCCGTCAGGAGACAGAGGCTGAATGCTTGGTTCAAAGAGTCCTGCATGGTTACACCATAGACCAAAGATTAATAGTCTTTTTATAGACCCCAGTTATCACATCAGCTGCCTGACTATTCTCAACATTTTTATAAGAATAAGCTCAATTATTTTGTATACCAAACAGATTTTTAATGGCTTTGAAGGTACTTAATAAAGTTTTATAATTCCATGAGCAACTAGCTTATCCTCCTCCCTACCATTTCTTTTACAATTATGAAGTTGACAATCACAACACAGAACCAAAGACCAGGGAGAGGAGTAGAGAGGAGGACAAGACTCATTTTTGCTGCCTTGTTCCTATACTCTTCACAAGACAATTAGAGAAAGTTCCCTTACTTCTGTCATTTGGGGCTGGAACATCCTATAGTATGTAAACATACTATAACATACTATGTAAACAGTATGTAAAGGGACCCCTGACCATTAGGTCCAGTCGTGGCCGACTTTGGGTTGCGGCACTCATCTTGCTTTATTGGCCGAGGGAGCCAGCGTACAGCTTCTGGGTCATGTGGCCAGCATGACTAAGCCGCTTCTGGTGAACCAGAGCAGCGCACAGAAACGCCGTTTACCTTCCCGCCAGAAGGTACCTTACCTATTTATCTACTTGCACTTTGACGTGCTTTTTAACTGCTAGGTTGGCAGGAGCTGGGACCAAGTAACGGGAGCTCACCCCGTCATGGGGATTCGAACTGCCGACCTTCTGATCGCAAGTCCTAGGTAGCCTCTGTGGTTTAACCCACAGCGTCACCCATGTCCCCCTATAGTATGTAATTCACTACATATCAGTGTGGGGTGGCTGCTTTGGCATAGCCAAGCTTCTCTCTGGCTTTGAAGGACCCAGCCAGCACCCAAGAAGTGGGTGGGTGGCAGCAATCAGAACGATACAAAGAGACTGCAAGCTGATCTACTGAATCATCTGCCTGCAGAAGAGAACTTCTTGGATATGAAACATGGAGAAAATTAAGGCACAGAAAATTCATCTACCTTCAAGAGACATATGTTTCAACTTCTAAGGGTCAATACAAAGAACACATTTTCACACAAACAGGAACTGTCTCTGGGGCTGACAAAAATATGTATCATCAAAGCAGCACATTGGACTTGCTGTCAACTGGGTTAAGTTCTTGAAATTATCCATGAAAATCTTTCATTCTTTTCTCAGTAAAAACAGTCAGAATATAGAAGCAGGTCAAAGCAGGCCAACAAAACTCTGCCTCACCTTCTCTGATACCTCTGAGTAAGGAAGGGCCAATTGGGAGTTGGCTAGGCAGGCAAATGAAACTCAGAGCCCAGTTCTAATTCATCAGGAAGTCAGTGCATACAATGAAATTATTCACAGTTTGATCTATATATTCCCAGGGTAGGGTCAGAAGGAACATGATGCCACGACCTATTGGAAGCTGAGCAGGTCTAGGCCTGGTTAGTGCTGGGTGGGAGACTGCCTGAGAACCACAGATGCATGCACGCTACCTTGGGCTCCATGATGGAAGAGAAGGTTAAGTGTAAGTAAATAAACATGTAAATATGAGCAGCTAGAGATCAAATGTTGCTAAATGACAGCTTTAAACCATTTCTCTAGCTCTAGGAGGAGCACCTAAAGGCTGGCTGCCAACCTGTGAAAATGAGGTGATGGTGCCTAAAAGCATTCCATGATTTTTCCAGCCCCGCTAAAGGACCTGAAAAGGTTGTATCCCTAAGTTATCATTTGAACTCTTTTACTTCTAGCCCTCTCCCCAAAGTTACAAAATCTCATTTTATAACCCGTTGCTCCAAAGTTGCCAAGATAAAGGTGCATGTGCCGTATGCACAGAGTGAATCCGAATCAGGTCCTGGCCCAATTCACTACCCAACAAGTTAAATTTGGCAACCATTCAAAGATCATACCTGGGACATAGACAGGTGGCTGCTCTTCGTCAGAAACTGAATGCAATTTCATTCAAGGAAAGCAAGGGCAAAAGGTTTGTTCCATTCTACATTTTACACTCTGTAAATATTATACAGTGGTACCTTGCTTTACAACCATAATCCATTCCGGAGGTCCGTTAGTAAACCAAAACAGGTTGTAACCCAAAGCGCTTTCACCAATGGGGGCCTCCAAAGAAAAAATGTGTGTAATCCAAAAAAAATTAGGTTGTAATTCAAAAAAAGTTCGCAATCCAGGACACACACTTCTGGGTTTGATGTGTTTCTATTCCAAAACGTACGCAAACCAGACTGTTTGGAAACCAAGGTACCACTGTAGTCTGAAAAATCTGCATCAAAATAGAAAGTTCAGAAACAGCAGACAACTGACCAGGAGACTACCAAAGCAAACATTTCTGTAAATCCACTTTGTTATTACTCTTATACGGGCCTCATTTAAAAGGTTGTATTTTATTAAAGGCCCTGTAACTAGCTCAATCACAGAGATAATGAGCCACATTTATTTGTATTAGCCTTGATTATAAAAGCAACTCCTGGAGGCCATACATTCAATGCATGCTCCTCAGACTCTGATTATGGACACAGAGAGACTAAGCTTTACACTCACACATTTTTTAAAAAGCTATCTGGGGCTCTTAGAAGCAGGTACTGGTATATGAGGATCAGGAGAGAAATCTGGGTAAACTGCATCCTAGTCAAGACCATCATCTGGGACCCTTCCCTGTTGTATCATCCAGATTGCCATCAGACTGCATATCTTTAGCAGTCACCCATCAATTCATGGTGGATTCAATTAAGTTAATAACAGCCCAACTACTGGCAGCAAGTTACATCCAATAAGTTGTTCTCTGCACATCATCTCTTCTAGATGCTGAAAGGAAGTTCTTACTCTGCCCCAGTGGGCCAGAGGGGAGCAACAAAATGGAGACTAAAATCCATTTGGAAAGATGTAGTGTAAATACATCAGCTGAAGACCTATGTATGCAAGTTAGTTCATAAAAGATGTAAGCATAATAATACCAAACAGAAATCAACAACAGATTATGTATATAAATGAATTCTGGGGAAGAGGACAGTATATCCGAATAATGAAAGGAACAATATATGAAGATAATGATTACATGAAAAACAAAATAGCACGTTTATGCCATTGCTTGCATATAGTGTTCCTTATAGGGGACACGGGTGGCGCTGTGGGTAAAAGCCTCAGCGCCTAGGGCTTGCCGATCGAAAGGTCGGCGGTTCGAATCCCCGCGGCGGGGTGCTGGCCCCCGGCCTCTTAAGTGAGATGGGTGCACAACCCTAGAGTCTGTCAAGACTGGCCCGTACGGGCAGGGGTACCTTTACCTTTTACTTACTGTTCCTTATAAAGTAAACTGCTCCCTTCCTCATGATTCACTTACTTACAATATGCTGTTGATCTCTCTTTGATATCTTTAAGCTCACATAGTTCATGAACTAAAATCCATTCACTTATCTTCTGCCAATATGTTAAAATTATATTTTTGAAATAGATTTCAGCTTCTTGGGCCCACTTACTCTCATCCACCAGGGCAGATTAGAGGTCTTATTTTCAGCAACAATTACATGCACCCAGAATGTGACCATATAGAGTTATTATAAGCTGCTCATCTAACTCTTAAGCTGGAGGTGCAAAATGTGTGCCCCCCCCCCACCGTTAAAGCCTTGAAGATGTTAGAATCATAGAACGGCAGAGTTGGGAGGAATCCTAAGGGTCATCTAGCCCAGCCCCCTGAAATGCAGGAAAATGAAGGTGGCCCTTATGATGATCAAACCTGCAACCCTGGCATTATCAGAAACACTCTAGCTACCTATTGCAGGATAGCCTTCTTTGGCAGAACTAAAAAAATTCCTTCCAGTAGCATTTTTGTCCAGTAGAATTTTGTTTTGACTATGGCAGACCAACACGGCTACCTATCTGTAACTGGAACTTTGGCAGAACTGTGATGCAAAGTCTCTAAAACCACTAACTTTGCCTCTGGGAGCCTCTAGATGTATGACCATTTGGTGGCTGGGACCCTCAGTTGTTTCTGCTGCGAGTGGGACGCCTAATGCTGCTGCCAAGGATGGAAAGGGCGCTAGGAGGGAGTGGCGAATAGGCTATGGGTCTGTTTTGCAGGGTCACGAGACATGGGGTCACTTGGTGAAGGGAACCGAGGCTATGGAGGCAGACGATACCATAAGCAGGACACGTCCCCCAAGACATACAGGCACCTCAAGGGCCATGCAATATGCGTCTCCCCACCACCAGCCCCGTCTTCCCCATGCCGGCAGCCACCAAAGTTACCAAAACTTCCACCAAAGGGAACCACAAAGAAAAGCTGGAATCAGCCGCAGCAGCTGAGAGTTGACGGGGGGAGCCGGGAAGCCCCGAGTTCAAGTCTCCGCTCAGCGCGACTATCTGGGTTGCTACGCTGTGCGCGGAATGGAGACTTGGAGGGAGCTATGGGGGAATGGAGCAGACTAGCATTTGTACTGGAAGACGAAGAAGCAACCTTTCCAGCCTGCTCTTTCCCTGTGGAGTCCAGGGCGCCTCCAGCGACGCTCCCCGGCCCCTCACAACAGCCCTGCAGAGGAGGGCGAGGGGCCAGAGAGAGAGAGAGCGAGGCTGGCAGGCCAAGGTCCCCCCCCCCCCGCCCTGGGAGTGGGGGCTTCCCCGTAACCCCCGGGCCTGGCTCCGCACTCGGCGGGGCGTCTTTCCTGAGGCAACGGAGGCGGCTCTCTGCACATGCTCAGGAACCACGGCAGCCTTGGCCACCGTTCATCAAATTAGCCCCCCCCCCCGCTTTTCCTTCTCCTCCCGCCCCCCCCTCCCCAGTTCCTCCTGAGGTAAAGAGACGGTCCTTACTCCAACGAGCAGCCACAACCGGCACCTCCAAGCAACCGCCAACCCCAACGTCTCTCCGCCCAGCCACGCCCCCGCGCCCGACTCTCGACTCCCATTGGCTGACGGGGACCGGGGTTCGCCCAGATACGGAGTCGGAGGAGCCGGCCAATGGGAGAGGACTCGGAACGGGCGGGGCGAGAAAGGGAGAAAGGGAGGAGGAGCTGGCTCTCCCGTTGCCTTCTGGGAGTCGTAGTGCCTGCTCTCCATTCCTCCCCCCCTACAGAACGGCCATCGAAAGGAACTGAATGAAACGGAGGACTGCGATTCCCGAAAGCCACCGCGGCGGGGCTTCTGAGCTACGGGTCGCGAGAAGGGGCAAAACGCGCTCAGCAGGTGCTGTCCACCCCCGTTTGGCTGCTCGTACAGGTGTGCAGGCGCAGGTGGTCAGGGGCTGATGCGGGAGGGAGGAGGAGGAGAGGATGGAGGAGAAGGCCCTGCGCAGCGGGAGCAGCTCCAGCAGCACCAAGCCCTACCTGGAGAAGCTCACCCTGGGGGTGACCCGCATCCTAGGTAAGGTGGAGGTGGCATCCCTGGTTGCCATGGAAACGGCCAAGGGATGGAGCCACAAAGAGCCTTTCTTCCCTCTCTTGCTCATTGCATGGCGCTTCCTCCCCCCTCACAACAGCCCTGTGAGGGAGGCCAGTCTGAGTGACCGCCTCGCCAAAGGTCTCATCCTGTGAAATTCTAGGCGAAGAGGGTTTTTATATGTTTGCCGGGGAAATCAGAGCGGCTGAAGACCTATAGGGGGTGGGGAAGGGGGACAAACCATCCTCCAGGAATGGCCCTACTGCAGCTAGCAAACCAGGCAAAGCTGGTAAAAGGCACTGCTAGCTCAGGGACACTTTCCATTAGCTCTTGCTAACATTGGATGAATGTTTAGTTTAGTGTGATGCAAATGAGCCACAGTTTATCTCAGGCACACACATTTATCCCCAAACCTCCCCAACCTCCTTTCCCCTGAAGACTGGGAGCCCCGGGGGGTGTGGGTGTGTGAACTAAATGACCTAATAGGATTTCGCCCATCTTTTGCCTTTGATGCTTCAAAGGGCTCCCTAAGGTTGGGCCCCCCCTGTCTATCCTCTTCTATTTCCCACGCAGAAACTTAAGATTTGCCTGCTTGATAGCTTCCGAACACCGTGTGCTGTGCAACAATTTTCTTCCTCTAATTCCGTCTTCCCCCAGACTGGTGACCTCTGGCACCCAGATTTGGAGCTGATGGAAGCTGTAATGCAGTGATGTCATGGACCGGCTGGATGCCGAGAAGCTTGGGAACCCCCAAGGGAACCCCCAGAAGGCTCTTGGAGTCATAGAATCCAAGAAAAGACCTCAACGGCTGGGACCCAAATTATCTCAGGGCCAGCCTGATTCCTGATTCCTCATCCACTGAGAATCTCTGGTGGTTCCCAGCACCCCCAGTTTCATCTAGTCTTCCCTAGGGATGTACCCTTCAGTGTGACAAGCCAAGCCCTGTCGAACTCCCTGCTACTAGAAATTTGTCAGGGACCAGCCCTCCTTTGCTTCAGAGATCTTCTGAAAGCTTTGTTTGTTTGTTTAAACAAGCAACATGATTTTAACCAATGAGTATTGATTGATATTCATTGATATTTTTATGGATCTTTTGTTGATTCTCCCGTCTTTATTTTCCCACTTGCTATATTTCTACAAAAGGGCAGATTATAAAATTTGTAATCAATCAATCAATCAATCAATCAACATGTGGCCTTCCAGCTATTGCTGGACAACAACTCTCATCTCCCCTCCCTGTTGGCCATGCTTGTTGGGAACTGGACGTCCAGCAGCAACATCTGGAGGACTCCATGCTGACTCCCCGACACTATGCTATTCCTCCTCCCTCCCAGTTCCTTTTCCTTTCATGTTGTGGCTCTTTAAAGTTGCAAGCCTAGAGGTAGAGGGACTGTCTGGTTTATATTCATCTGCAAACTGCTTTGGGGAAATCTTTCTGGTTGAAGAGCAGAGCACGTATTGTTTACACTGATTACTCTTTTTGCAGAAGCTTCTCCAGGAGTTACTGAGGTGACGTTTGTGGAGAAGGTGCCAGCCGAGCGCCATGCCATTGTTTCATGGGAACAGGTAAGGCTGGCTATTATTTATGCATATCGCCTCTCCTCCCCCACGGTGCTTGAGTCAGCTTTTGCAGTATTATTAGTTTGGATTTTCCATAGAGGTGATTAGAACAGAGCACCTGGAGGTGAGGTCATTTTTTAAAATGGGACTGCATGCAAAGCTG